AAGGATTTTTTCACACAACGCGCAGTCAACCTGTGGAACTCCTTGCCAGAAGATGTTGTGAAGGTCAAGACTATAACAGGGTTCAAAAAAGAACGAGATAAATTCATGGAGGATAGGTCCATCAATGGCTATTAGCCAGGATGGGCAGGGATGGTGTCCCTAGCCTCTGTTTGCCAGAAGCTGGGAATGGGCGACTTGATGATTACCTGTTCTGTTCATTCCCTCTGGGGCACCTGGCACTGGCCACTGTTGGAAGACAGGATACTGGGCTAGATGGACCTTTGGTCTGACCCAGTATGGCCGTTCTTATGTAATCTATCCAGTTTTTATCAGAAATAAGATTGAGAAGTGAATTGATCAGGGTGAATACGTGCCGTTACACAGAGAAAATGCAGGCACCAAAGGGCTTTTTAATCTAGCAGAGAAAGGCAGAACCAGAACCAAAGCCTGGAAGTTAAAGCCAGACAAATTCAAATTGGAAATAAGGAACAATATTTAGCAGTGATGGTGATTGGAACAAACTACTAAGGAAAGTGATGATTCTCCATCTCTTGAAGTCTTCAGATTGAGACACAGACACTGACTTTTTGGATTCAGGGAGTGCTCGACCCCCACTTTGTCCCGGGCCCCACCCCCTCTCCACTCCTTCCTCAAGCCCCCTGCCTCTTCCCGTCCTCGCTCCGCCCCGCCTCTTCCCAACTCTGCTCCCCTCCCAGTGCCTCCTGCACACCACGGAACAGCTGATCATGGTGGGCAGGAGGCGCTCATTGGCGGGGCTGCCAGTGGGCGGGACGTGCTGGGGGGAGGGAAAGGTGCTGAACCGTGGGGCTGCTGGTGGGTGCTCAGCACCCACCATTTTTTTCCGATGGGTGCTCAAGCCCCAGAGTACCCATGAAGTCGGTGCCTATCGATCAAGACTGGAGCCTTTCTGGAAGATGTACTTGAGTCAGATACAAGTTAGTGGGCTCAGTACAGGTGTTACTGGATGAAATTATCTGGCATGTTATACAGGTCACTGTAGAACAGGGGTGGGCAAACTACGGCCCATGGGTTGGATCTGGGCCGCGAGCCATTTTAAGCCAAGCCTGCGAGCTGCACCACGTGGCTCGGCCCAGCTCTGGCTGGGGCCTGGACCAGCGGGTCAGCCTCGCTGCGGCACTCCGGCCGGGGGCTGCACCATGCACTCGGCCCTACTCTGGCCAGGGCACTGGGTCAGGGGCTGCACCAGCGGCTTTGCTCAGCTCCAGCCGGGGCGTTGGGTTGGGGGCTGCACCACGTGGCTCCCGGAAGCCGCGGCATGGCCCCACTCCAGCTCCTACGCACTCCAATGGGAGCTGCAGGGGCGGTGCCTGTGGATGGGGCAGCGTGCAGAGCCACCTGGCTATGCCTCCACGTAGGAGCCGGAGAAGGGACATGCCACTACTTCCGGGAGCTGCTTGAGGTAAGCGCCACTTGGAGCCTGCACCCCCTGAGCCTCTCCCCATGCCCCAACCCCCTGCCCCAGCCCTGATCCCCTTCCCGCTCTACAAACCCCTCGATCCCAGCACCCTCCTACACCCCAAACCTCTCATCCCCAGCCGCTCCCCAGAGCCCACACCCCCAGCCAGAACCTGCACCCCTTCCCCAGCCCTGATCCCCCTCCTGCCCTCAGAATCCCTCGATCCCAGCCCAGAGCACCCTCCTACACCCCAAACTCCTCATCCCCAGCCCAAAGCCCGCTCCCCCTCCCGCACCCCAACCCCAATTTTGTGAGCATTCATGGCCCACCATACAATTTCTATTCCCCGATGTAGCCCTCGGGCCAAAAAGTTTGCCCACCCCTGCACTCGAATGATCTAATGATCGTTTCTGGCCTTAAAATCTTTTGAGTCTATTAATATGGACTGGACTGATAAAAGCCTGAAAATCCAGATCTTCAAAGGTATTTAGGCACCTAATTCCCCTTGATTTCAATGAGAGTCAAGCACCTAAATACCTTTGAGGATCTGGGCCTAGAGAAAGTAGCATAACGGGGAATTTCAACACCCACTTAATGTAAACAACTGCTTCTTTTTCTTCATGCTGTGAAGTGCAAACTTAGGCTTGGTCTACACTACATACTTACTTTGATATAACTAAGTCACTCAGGGCTGTGAAAAATCCACAGCCTTGAGCAACATAGTTATACCGATCTTAACCCCCTAGGTAGACAGAGCTACGTCAGTGGAAGAGCTTCTCCCGCCGACATAGCTACTGCCTTTCCTGGAGGTGGAGTTATTAAGCCAATGGAAGAGCTCTCTCCTGTCAACTTAGAGCATCTTCACCAGACATGCTACCTGCCCTCACTGTGGTCTGTTTTCTCTTGCTTTGCTTGGTGATGCTACATCAATTAGGGTCACAAGGAAATTGGTAGTGTTTAATTCTGCTGTTGGACACGCATGCACACCCCCACCTTCTATTAATTTCCATGAAAGTTGTATATGTATCCACGGCCAGAATCTGCCTCTTAGCACCCCTTATTTTTTTTAAACCATGTGGTGCACGTGGTTGTGTAAACATTTTTAGCCTCATTTAAAACCACTGAAAGTAATAAGAAGAATCCCACTGCTCCTCTGGGTATTAGATTTAGCCTTTTAATGTTTTCGTCTCAAAGGCACAAAATATAAACATTAAAAACATGAATTCTCCGCTTGGAATGAAAACTCAGCCAGTTAGTCCTCCTCAGTGTAAGCAGGCAAGAGAAACAAATTTCTTCCACTATGTCAAAGTTCATCCCCCAATTAATTTGGAGAGGGAAAATGGCAGATTCCGTTTGTAGCTGCAACAACAAAAGTCTTGACAGGTAGAAAACATAGCGTGGCTTCAAATTCAGCTTGTTCAAATCCAATTAATTTTCCTGTTAATAACACTGTCAGGCATCATAAATGGGATGTCTGAATCATAGAATCATAGAATCATAGAATATAAGGGTTGGAAGGGACCCCAGAAGGTCATCTAGTCCAACCCCCTGCTCAAAGCAGGACCAATTCCCAGTCTGGCTGTAAGGAAAATAAAAACATTGAAATATTGGCCCCACAGTATGCCAACATTTTTATGGCTGACTTAGCTCCTCAGCTCTCGTCCCCTAGCGCCCCTCCTCTACTTATGCTACATTGATGACATCTTCATCATATTGACCCACGTGAAGGAGGCCATGGAAGAATTCCACCTGGATTTTAACAATTTCCACCCCACCATCAACCTCAGCCTGGACCAGGCCACACAAGAGATCCACTTCCTGGACACTACAATGCAAATAAGTGATGGTCACAAAAACACCACCCTATACTGGAAACCTACTGACCATTATACTTACCTACGTGCCTCCAGCTTCCATCCAGGACAGATCACATGATCCATTGACTACAGCCAAGCCCTAAGATACAACTGCATTTGCTTTAATCCCTCAGACAGAGACAAACAACTACAACTTCTCTATCAAGCATTCTTAAAACTATAATATCCACCTGGGGAAGTGAGAAAACAGACTGACAGAGCTAGACAGGCCCCAGAAGTCACCTACTACAGGACAGGAAAACAACAAAACACCACTGGCCATCACGTACAGCCCCAGCTAAAATCTGTCCAGCACATCATCAATGATCTACAACCTATCTTGGAAAATGATCCCCTACTCTCACAGGCCTTGGGAGGCAGGCCAATCCTCGCTTACAGACAGCCCCCCTACCTGAAGCAAATACTCACCAGCAACTACACACCACACCACAGAAATACTAACCCAGGAACAAATCCCTGTAACAAACTCTGTTGCCTTCTCTGCCCCCGTATCTACACCAGCCACCGCATCAGGGGCTCATTCACCTGCACATCTGATATATGCCATCATGTGCCAGCAATGCCCCTCTGCCACGTACACTGGCCAAACTGGACAGTCTTTATGTAAAAGGATAAATGGACACAAATCAGACATCAGGAATTCAAAAGCCAGTAGAAGAACACTTCAATCTCCCTGGACACTCAATAACAGATTTAAAAGTAGCCATTCTTTAACAAAAAAACCTTCAAAAACAGACTTCAAAGAGAAACTGCAGAGCTACAATTCATTTGCAAACTTAATACCATAAGTTTGGGCTTAAACAGGGACTGGGAATGGCTGACTCACTACAAAAGCAATTTTCCCTCTCTTTGTACTGACACTTCCTTATCAGTTACTGGGAGTGGACCATATCCACCCTGACTGAATTGGCCCTGTCAACATTGGTTCTCCACTTGTAAGGTAACTCCTTTCTCTTCATGTGCCAATATATATTTATGCCTGTATCTATAATTTTCACTCCATGCATCTGAAGAAGTGGGTTTTTTGCCCATGAAAGCTTATGCCCAAATAAATCTGTTAGTCTTTAAGGTGCCACTGGACTCCTCGTTGTTTTTGTGGATACAGACTAACTCGGCTACCCCTCTGATACTTAAAAACATCGAATCATCAGAACTACTGAAATAGAAAAATGTAGCTCTTATTATCTGTGATGTTACTTGACAAATTCCACATACATAATACGTGTTCACACAAACCAACTGCAGAATGACTAACTTTTATTCAAAGCCCGAGCTGTAGGACACAAGTCTCAGACCTTGTCTGTCTTTGCTGTAGTAGGACATGAGACATTTGTACCCTTCAGGATTGTAGCTAATTGCTTACAGAGCAATTTAGGGTTCCAACAGAGGGACTGCTTTCTCCGGTGTCAAACGTTAAGTTGCGCGAGGTAAAGCAACTCAACTTCTATATTATCCTGTAAGAAAGACTTCTTGGTGGCAGGGGCCTCTCTTTGGCCTGTACTGATGGGTCCACATAGGGTAAAAGCTAAGGCTTCAAGCTTGCAAACTTTTACACATGTATTTAATTTAAGTATCCCGTCCTCTCCCCAGCCAGCTCCCCTCCCCTTCGCTCCCCAGGGCTCCGTTCCCGCCTCATCCGCCCCCGCTCCAGCCAGCCCCGCAGGGCCGTGGCCCCGGACTCTCACCCTCCCAGCTGGGACGGAAGCCGGTAGGACTCAACCGGCTTGGAAGCGATCACTCGGCGCTCGCCTCCGCCTCTGCCGGGAGCGCCGAGTGCTCGATAGAGCAGCTGTGTCGCTGCTGGGCCCCTCCGCGCAGCCCCGGCCATTTCCCAGCCGGCCCGGAGCGGTGAGCGGGGCCGGGCAGGAGCGCGTCCTCCGAGCGGAGGGGCCCTTGGGGAGGGGCTCGGGGAGGGGGGCAGGGTTTGGGGGGGCGTGGGGGCCCGTGGAGAGGGGTTCTGGGGGGGCTATGGGGCAGGGTTTGGGGGGGCCCCCCAGATAGGTGTGGCTGCAGAGCTGTTCTCCCTCTCTGCTGTTGCCTGGCGGCCCTGCGGGCGCTCACACTGCACAGGAGCTGGTATTAGGGTCTGCTGTGTGAAGCGGCTCCTTCCTCTGCTCCCAGGCTCTGTATTTTACATGGGGGTGGTGGGATTAACCGGGGGGCGTTTCTGCAAGAGAAGCGTGGGGGAAAGCAGTTTCCTTGCACTGGGGGATCTCCACAAACATCTAGCTTCCTCCAGCCTGCGTCCATTGCACTTGTTTCTCCCCCGATAACCCCTGGCCTGGCCCATGGTATTCGCTGCTCCCCTGATAGCCAGCCTGTGCCTGTTGTGGTCCCTGCTTCTGTCCCAGCCAGCTAAGTGACACCCCCAACACTCCTAGCTTGTGACCATTGTACTCACTGGTCCCCGACAGCTGGCTGGGTGACTTCACCTAGAATCCCTAGCTTGTGCCTGTTGTGCTCCGGGTCTGGAATGTTGTTCTTTACCTGCATTAGCAATCCCATCCTTCTGGTTGTGGATCAGTAAATGGGGAGATATCTTGCTCTGTTTCTATATGACAGGCTGTGTTAAGGAGAGCAGACAGTGCTCACTTTGCTGGGCCGTTTGCTAAATTTCCAGCATTTGTTGTATTGTCACAGCCTCTTGCTATCTGTGCAGTTTTCCCCATGTCCTCTCTTCAGGATGGAGGGTCCCTGGGATTTTAACTCTTAATCTCCACTAACTCCCCGGGTAGGGGAATGTGTTGGGGTTCAAACCAGCAAAGCCACACTCCGTCCACTTAGGGTGGAGCTGGGTGGCTCAGGGAACTACTGATAGTTGGATCCAGAACCTTTGACCTCTTGGTTATTGGGCCAAAGCCAATCTAGGTCAGTCATGCAAACTGTCATTATCTTTCAGTGATTGGTATGAAATGGGGTGTTTGGTCTCTGTGTACTTCTTAGCTGACTGAAATGTACACAGCACAGCTCTCCACCACAGTCAGCATCTGTGTTACACTCCGGAGAGATGCTGAGGGCGGGCAGTCTGTCAGGTCAGGGTTGAAGCACGTTGGTGGAGTAATGTTAGTGAATTTTGCACACTGCTGCTGCCTACATGTGAAGGATCTGTCCTGTGGATAAAAGGGGTTTAGCACTTCAGGGCTGCCAGCTGGGCACCTTATTGGCACTAACATTAGAATGGGGGACAAGGTGGAAAAGAGAAAGCAGACTGTACTCGGTCAGAAACCTTTGTCTCTCTTAGGGTTTTATTGCTCTTTTCTTTCCTGTTTCAGTTCCTCTTGTTTTTTTTATAAAATTGGTTTCTGTTGCTTTTGTACCAAGGGACTTTCTGAAGCCATCCAGCTATGTGCTGGGTACTTTTCTACAAAGATGTAGAAAAACACAGTCCCTGCCCCATAAAGTTTAAAGGCCAAGGCCCTGATCATACAGACACTCACATGTGGCACTCAGAGTCACATGCTCAAAGATAAGCGTGTACCTTTAAGTGTTTCCAGGATCAAGGCCTAAGAAATTAGACTAAACTAAATAATCTGTTCCGTTAAGAAGTGTCTTTGGGTCCACGAAAGCATAATAATGCTGCTGTAGTTCATTGATTTTTCATTCTCTTGCCTATGGCATTTGTAGGTGGATTCTGTTTAACTTGTAGGTGTTTTCCTGAGCACTGGAGAAGGGGCGAGAGTGACTAACTCTTTGCATGATCTGATAGAAAATTGTATTCAGCACAGTTAGATCTCAGAGATGTTTGTTTCCCTCTCCCTTCTAGGTAGTGTATTTTTCTGCCACCTCCTTGTACAGGAAGATCAAGACCATTTTTGTGAATAGAAAACATGCCTCCAAAATTCAAGCGCCACCTAAATGATGATGATGTCACTGGCTCGGTGAAAAGCGAAAGGGTGAGTGCCTGACAGCCAGTAGCCTTCTGTGCATTTATTGATGTTTTGTACCTAGCCCCCCTTGTTTTGCCTTAATTAAGAGGGATGTATATTTACTAACTCTGCACTCCCTGGCGGCCTGAGAGCCATCTTGGAGTGAGCTTAACCACACAGCTTCATCGTTGATGACTTCAATGCCATTGAAACAGTGGAGGGCATGTTTAAAGTGGACCGCAAATGGATGAAATCCACCAATGCTGAATAGCCCAACCAACACCCTAAGGGGGGCAGTCAGTGTGTTAGGTGAAAAGGCACCTTTTCAAAAAGTGTGGTGGGGAGGACCCATTTAATTCTTCTGTCTAGCTCCACTCAATGCTGATTCCATAGAATGCATTACTCAGTGACTTCACAGCTATTGAATAACTCCATTGGAATGTGGAGCCAGCTTGGGACAGAGTGCTGTGTGTGTGTGCTAAATCATTTCCTTTTTGTAAATGATGTGTGTGTCAGTGTTTGTATTGAGGAGACACACCAAAGATTTAAATGCCAGAAAAGGGATTTATTTGATTTTCTTCCCCACCCTCAAAGGCTGCTTCATGTTCCATTAGGGGTCTCTTGTAACTGTGGTGTAACCCAGTGATATATTATGGAGTGCCACAGCTTCATGGACCTGGCTGGTGGGATATAAAAGGAATTAATGAAGTGACATTATTTTGAGATATGCTGAATAACTCCTCTTAGCCTGGCAGGTGGCGAACATTCAGTACGCTTGGTGAGGTAACTCGATCTATTTTTATTTTCAGGTCACTTGGTTTAGCCTGCTTATTTTGGAGGAAATATTAGATATAAATAATATGTAACAAAGATTGTAGGTTTCAGAGTAACAGCCGTGTTAGTCTGTATTCGCAAAAAGAAAAGGAGGACTTGTGGCACCTTAGAGACTAACACATTTATTTGAGCGTGAGCTTTCGTGAGCTACAGCTCACTTCATCGGATGCATTCCAATGAGGTGAGCTGTAGCTCACGAAAGCTTATGCTCAAATAAATTGGTTAGTCTCTAAGGTGCCACAAGTCCTCCTTTTCTTTTTAAAGATTGTAGGGTGGTTCTTACTTTTAAACAGATTAGCTGCATCTGTTAACTACATAGTGCCATAAGTGTGAATGGCTCTTTATAGATGGGGAGTGGGAAAAAGAGCTTGATATCAGAATGTCCCAGTCGTCGATTATTTGATTGTGCAGAGTGCTGCTGCAATAAAAGAGTTACGGTATTTGCACCCCTCACCATGAAGTGTAGCATTAGACTAGTTCAAGGCAGGGTGTTCAGCAGTGCTTTTTATTACATTTCTCTTTGTTTGCAGCGGAATTGCTATACTATAGGATTCTCAACTTGCATATTTTCTTGTGTAATTTATTTGTAATTTGCATGCAGATTTCTTTTATTCTGGGCACTTGCACTGTAAATGAGCATTAAGGTAACTGAGATAACTAGGCTGGGAATTAATGACTTGTGCCATGGGAAGGGCAAATTGCAGCTTTCTTATCTGCAGCATCCTAATCGCATAGGTCCTTAAGATAAGAGACTCTGGTATAGCTTTGTTTTTTAAATGAGTCTTGTAATTTGTGCATTCTCTGTTCAGTTAAACTAGTCTGTAAAAAGTGACACATTAGGGTTTTTTTTGCAGACTCAGTAATAATAATGTACAGTTGTCTCTCTCCTTTACTGGACCTAAACAGAATAGAAACAAAATAAGGTGCTTTACAAGTTCTTCTTTTTGTTGTTGAGTTTTGTTTTGTTTTTTAAAAGACTTGCTAGCTAGTAAGTCTGCTCCTGTGAAAATTGATATTTGTGGGGTGTTAATATTGCCTTTCACAGCAAACTTACTCAGCCTTGGCAAGCCAGGGGACAAATTAAGCTCTGAATAGAGAGGTGGGTAGGGAGGCAGTGGGGGCCAGGGGCAATGGAGGGCTAGCGATTGCTATATCGCAGTGGAATTTACTTTCTGTATCAAAGGCCCATCTATGCTGAGCTTGGAAATATATGTGCTGAACTGGTTTAAATCGTTATTACATACAAAGTGGATTTGAACGTGATTTGTCTAGCCAGAGTGCAGGGTGTCAAACAGTATTTAAACCGAGCCTGGAAGCCAGGCTGTAGCCTCAAATACTGACTATTTTAGCTTATAATTCCTCCTAGTGAGATGATTGACAACTTGGCTGCATGGGGATGTGCTTTTGCACCACAAAAGTCCATACCTAGGCTAGAACATGATTTCTAGACTCTGTTTAAACTGGTTCAGCAAATGCAGTTTAAGCTGTAGTTTAGATGGGAATATGGGAATTTAAAACCAAACACAAGGGGAACAGCATCTCTTAGCATCATGAGGGTGGGGTGAGATCTGTGAGTCCAGTGCGGGACAGAGAACCCCAAAGGATTTTTTCCTTCTCAACTATTTTTTTAACCCTAAAAAAGGATATAGACCTGAAGATTTGGAGCATCTGTTATGGATATAAAGCATGCCAACAGCCCCTAAAAGGAGAACCAAGCCAATGTCTTATTTTTAAAGCAACCTTACAAGATTGTCATGGAAATTCTCAGCGCAGATGCCCACTCTACTTGGCTCTCCTTACTATGATGATGATAAAATCTAATGATGTTTTAGCTGTCAAATCAACTTTTGGTACAGTAGGATTTTTCAAGACTGACTTAGAAGGTCAGTCCAAGGATTATCCACTGATTTGTAATGGAGGCCAAAATGCATTACTAAAGTGTTGCAGTAACTGTGCAACATGTAACATAAGAGAGTGTGAAAATAACTCCACTACCAGAAATGTACTCCCCTCACCAAGACCCTGTTGCTGAACAAGAGGAAAATCCAGCTGTCAAATTCAGCTCCACTC